TCATGTTGGGCCTTTTTTATTAATTTTTAATGAGAAAATAAGTGTCCCTGTGTCAAATTGTCCGCATGTTGAGGTGTCCACATGTGGGGGTCCCACTGTACTGAAATCAAGTCAATAGAACATTTGAGAATGCAGAATTGAAGAAGACCAAAAGTTCTTTGCTAACTGTACAACAAACCTTCATCTATGAAACTTGAAAATAATGATATTAATAATTTCAAAATTTAAAAATGGAAATATTTGAAGATTTAAAATTTTGGTCAGGCGAGTTTCATCACGGAAAAAATTTACATGAAATGAGACTGTTATACAATAAATAGGGGAAAGTAAACCATTCAAAATAAGACAAGAAAAATTTTCACCAAAAATGACGGAAGGATCAAGTGTTCATTTCCGACACAATCTTTATCTGTACATGTTATTGAAGTACTGCAATGCATGCTCTCGATGATTTATTTCGGGGGACTGTTTTGCATCAATGCTATTTTTCACTCTTGTTGTTTTTCAGTTTGCACTGTTGAGAACAATTTATATTTTTCCAGGTCCTCGGCGCTATTTCGGACAAGCAATGCTTCGACACACGCCGTTTTGGCACACGCTGTTATGAATGCGATTCGGGAAAAGTTCAATTGTCGGGCAAAAAGAAGAAGAAGAAGAAAAAAAAATGATGAGGAATTTTGCACGAACCTTTGAACCTCCAGCGTTGCCCAGGTTTCGTACGCAAATTCGCATTTCGGGTCAATTTCGAGCGCCATCTTCATGTATTTCACAGCTTCATCCGTGTTGTTTGTTTGCACTTTAATCAAACCTCTGTGAACAAGGATCATGGCATCCTCGGGATTCAGTTTGTGAGCGCGTTCCATGTATTCTTCGGCTTGCTGATATTCGTTCAGATCGGCCAGTATCTGTAAAGCATTATAACCTCTTCCAGCTCGGAACACAAATTTACTGGAGAGAATATTCTCAGATAGTCTATCTGAAATATTCTCAGATACTGTATCTGAAATATTCTCAGATACTGTATCTGAAATATTCTCAGATACTGTATCTGAAATATTCTCAAATACTGTATCTGAAATATTCTCTGATATGAACTACTGTCCTTTCAAACACATGAACCATTCCTTGAAATCTGAAATGTTCAGAAATCGTTTTGAATATTTTGAAAAAATAAATCTAAAATATTCTGAAAAAGAAATTGAAATTGTCTGATAAATAAATCTGAAATATTCTGAAGAAATCTAAAATATTCTAAAAAATGAAATCTGAAATATTCCAAAAAAGAAATCTGAAATATTCCAAAAATGAAATCTGGAATATTTTGAAAAATATATCTGAAATATTTTGAAAATGAATCTGAAATATTCCAAAAAATAAATCTGAAATATTCTGAAAAATAAATCTGAAATATTCTGAAAAATAAATCTGAAATATTCTGAAAAATAAATCTGAAATATTCTGAAAAATAAATTTGAAATATTCTGAAAAATAAATCTGAAATATTCCAAAAACAAAATCCAGAATAATCTGAAAAATAGATTTGAAATATTTTGAAAAATAAATCTGAAATATTCCAAAAATGAAATCTGGAATAATCTGAAAACGAATCTGACATATTTTGAAAAATAAACCTACTGAAATATGCTGAGAAATAAATTTGAAATGTTCTGAAGAATGAATCTAAAATATTTTCAGAAAAATGACATACAATATTTTTAGAAACAGGAAATACTGTACTTCCAAAAAGATGAGCTATCAAAAAAAATATTTTCATACATGCTAAGGAGGTCTGAAACCTATTCAGAAAGCCGTCATCTTTTGCTTGTCTGTATGGTATGTTTTCCAAGTTAATCATAATATTATTCCAAAGTTTTGAGACTCCATTAAAATTCAGAAAATTCCTAATTTTTAAAAGAAAATAAAATATAGATACAGAATTTACGCGCGCATCACATGTCAGGTTGACATTTCCTTGAGTCAAATACAAAAGCGATTTCTCACAGATTCTGAATTCACGGCATTTTTAGATTGAATATCCATCTAAAATTAAGATACAGGATTATTTTTTGCGTTAATCCACAAATAAATAACCTGTCACCCCTGAACCCACAATTCAGAAAATGCAACATTCTTTCACATTTCCGCCCCACATCAATTCGTAGACTTGAGAAATGAGTGAATACAAATAACGAATAAAAGAAAAGAAAAAAACCTGTCCAAAAATTGAGCATCCGTCAGAACTGCTCGGGAACTTGTCCACGGTTTCCCGGAATCTGGCAGCGCAAGCAGAAACCTTCTCCAAATTCTGCTCCCTGAAGGCACGTCGGTATTCGACGAGACGTTTCTGAATTTGGGTCGGAGGAAAACTCGGATGCAAAGCAGCAGCCTTGTCGAAGTCTGACACAGCCTTGTCATACTTTTCCAACAGCATCATCACCTAAACATAACATTAGAAAATAGCAAACATAAAAATTACAATAATATCAACTGATGATCTCGACCACAATAGTATACTGTATTTATAAAAGAAGAAATGCACATCTTCCAGATATCTTGAATGTTCAAAAATCCGGTAAACAGCAAAAAAACTGGAGTACCGTAAATAATGACGGAAAGCTTTCCCACGCATTTTGTCCCGACTTCACGTTTTTAAATTTATTTCAACACGGATGGCGCCTGAATTTAATCTCAATTCCGAAGTACTCCAATCGGTAATTACGACTCAGATCATGTAATGGAGATTTACACATTCGACCTTGGAGTTATACAACATTAGCGTGTAAGATATTAAAATTGCTGCTGATTTTTACGGGAATAGCCGTTATATTTGCGTACAAGACCCATTTCGCCAAAAACGAATATTTTTTAAAATCTGCGATTGAAACAATTTCCCACTTCACCAAAATGGCTTGTGGAAAGCTGGGTGGCGGCCCAAGTGCACAAGAACGAAGTAACTTTACGCGACACCTTCCCGAAATTATAGAAAGCATTTCAGAGGAAATTGACCT